CAAATATATAACAAAGAAGCACAAAAAAGGATTTATTAAATTTAACAAATTAATGTTTGTGCTTTGTATCGATCTGATGCGTTTACAAACTGAAAACGCCATTGCTATATAAAGAAAAAAAAAAGACAAATAATATAAAAGCAAGACACGACATAGAAAACTAAAGACTGTTCAACACGAAAACAAGAAACTTGGGGTGATCGCAGGGATCCGGAAGGGTAAACAGATCCTGCTCCACATGTGACACCCGTCGTGTTGCTCATGATACTGCTCCACTCAGGTTAGGAGCCTATAGTTCAGTGTTTTTCTTCAACAGTTTGTTATGTTTACAGATTGTAGCGTGGTTTAACATGTTTGCGGGACACCCCAACCCCCACCCTTACCTAGGACAGTGGTGTAACAGTAAAAAGATAAGAACAAAATATAAAAGTCAGTTGAAAAAGGTTAAACTCATCAGATGGATACAAATAGAAATACTACACAGACTGGACGTGACCGGGTACCTGTATATCCCAACAACAAAAAGACACTAAGTACACATCTGAGAGTACTCGCAGTTACTGACAGCTAGTTAAAATCAACTAAAAACTAATGAAAAATCATGCATCTAAGACTATGTGATGTTTTATATAGGGAAAAGAGTGAATCACAAAAAAAATGTAAACATAACTGAGCATTTTCGGAGAAGGAAGCATCTTAGATACGCATCTGGCTTATATATTTTTATTTAACATGAATATGTGCCTATATCAACTTTTGTAAAATTGGATTGGTTGAATGTTATGAGTGATTGGCATGTCTATGCTTAGGTACCAAGGTTGAATTGAATAGATTCCCATAGCTTTATGTGGCAAAACTTTTCTGAATTGAAGGTCCTCAAGGCTTGTCAACTTCGTCCTTTCATATGCCTTTTAAACGATTTTATTAGCGTCACTAATGAGTCAGGCGTATACAATCGTGGTTTATATAATGTGTTTAGATAAAGCATTAGACCATTATAGTCATGTGAAAAGAGAAACCATAGATAACATTTAATCGTCAGAATTATCACCAAAAAAAAAGTTTTAAAAAAAAGAGATTAATCACCATATATTAACATATCTGTAAGAATATATAAAGTCAAACGTTTACCTTCCATCTTGTTGGCTTGTTGTTAGTCGGATTGGAAATGTGTTTCCCTTAAATCAACTTCGGTTTCAATTATGATTAACGTTGAAAAATGTGTCTGGCATTTATTTCATTTGCTAAGGTAAAAAGATTGTATCTTTAAATACCCTGATCAACAGTATTTAATGTTGACAAGTAAACGGCTCATTGCGTATAATTGACCTAGTCTGAGGTTATTTGCAATACACAATAAAATATAAGAAACGTAACATGTTATTCTTTATAAAACTGAATTACATTTAATGGAAAATAAATCATTAGTTGCTTTTTTCATATCTTGATTGTCTAGCCCTCACTTCGTCTGAACAACATCGGCAAAAAATGTTTGGACAAAAGTAGATAAGACTGTATGTAGTTCTACATCCAAGATAAACAGTATCAAGGCATTGGCTAATACTTGGGCTTACATAGAACTTACATATTTTCAAGTTCAAGTTCTGACAGTCCTTCCTACCCACCCACCCTCATAAGGGGTTCTGAGAAAGATTCAAAATATATGTATGGAAAGAAAAACCGGATACATTAAAGACCTTTGAGGTTTTTCTTAAAATATCCTGAACCAAGTCAGAAATATTGTAGTTGTTATGAAATAGTTCGTTTCTATGTATGTTGGCTTTTGTTGCACTTGAGTGTTTCTGTTGTTTCTTTGTTTTTCCTTTTATTGTTGATGTGATTCCCTCGGGTTTAGTTTGTAACCCGAATTTGTTTTTCTCAATCGATTTATGACTTTTGAACTGTTGCTTTTATAGAAAACACAAAAACAAAAATTTAATCGTTTGATCAATATATAACTCGTATGCCAGCATAACTGTGTATATCAATTTTAAATCTACATACAAAGCTTTACAAAGGAAATATTGAAATACAATCGCATCTCATAGTGTATGGTTTTCAATCACTTCTTTGAATCAGCATAACTGTATCTGCTTCACGTTTGAATGCAACCAGCATAGTCACAATATTTTATATTTCTCAGTAACAGTACATTATGAATTAGTTGAAAGTGGCATTACATGATATGATAATCCCCATTTTTATCTCCATCATACGCGTCTTTGCTAGAACTTGTATGCTTAAAGGAATGCATAATATATAATAAGCATACACATTGACCATATCTACAAAAACTGAAAACCACCAAAGTCAATGTTATGGAAAAAAGAACGATTTTTTTATGCATTTTACATGTTATACGTTAGTGGATTTTACAATACATTCAGATAGAGGGAAAAACAATAATAACAATTCAATCAGTGTATGTATACATAATATAATGTTGATGATCATATTCAACTAGGAAAACAAAACTATATTTACTGGATGTGCCTATAATCTAAAACGTTATGTACATATATCTAAGTGTTTAAAGTCTTTGTCTGCTGTTTCAAATACCAAATTATTTTATAAGTCTGAATAAGCATTTCTGCTTCGAATTGATCAAAATAATTTATAGAACACAAGTGCATTAAAAAAGGAGCATTGAATAATTTGTACATAATACTAGAAATAACAGTATACAATTTAAAATTTAGCTTTCTTGGGGTCTAAAATTTTACAACTAAAGCTGTAAAATATATAGCTCCCCTCAACTCACTACCTACTCAGTTTCAACTATGTTCAAAGTTACACGCATAAATTAATCAATGGTTATACAGTGATGTTATAAAAAAAACATGTGACAGAACTAAAGCAAATGACAATATTTTTAGAAAATGTAATGAAACTCAGAATTGAAAAAAATACTGCGACGGATCACAGCAGACACAAACTACTGGTTAAATCATCACCTTAAAATTTAATAAATCCTCAGTTAAGATGTATGTATGACTTCGGTTAACATAATTTCCCTGAATTCAGGAGGCACAGCAAGTAAATGTACTGTAAGCAAAAACCTTGAGTAATATGACCTACCGAATTATACTTGAATACCGGATTTGTAAAAACATGATCAACACGACGTGTGGCACATGTTAAGCAGGATCTTCTTACCCTTCCGGAGCACCTGAGTTTTTAGCAGGGTTCGTGTTTCTTAGGATCAAGTTTGAAAGGTTGTGTTTAATGTTATATTGTGTTTCTATTGGTCGTTTTTTTTAGCAATTGCGTTGTCTGTTATTTCAGACAAATGAGAGTTAATGTCTCTCTAGGCTCTTTTAAAACATGAATAAAATATGTGAAATTGGGGAAAATTTGAATAAAATTTCCACAAAAACTGCTTCTATTGAAATGTTCAACAAAAAATTCACATCCAAGTTTCTGACACTTTTACCTTTTATGTCTGTTTGTTTTGTTCAAACATCGTTGTCAATATTATGGAATTTGATTCGACTCCAATACAAGTGAGAGGTTTAGCTAGCTATAAAATCAGGTTCAATCTACCATTTTCTACATAATAAAAAGCCTGTATCAAGTCAGGAATATGATAATTGTTATCCATTCGTTTGATGTGTTTGAGCTTTTGATTTTGCCATTATATTACGGACTTTCCGGTTTTAATTTTCCTCGGAGTATTTTTTTTTTATTTTACTTTTTTCTGTATACTGGTATATGCTTCCCTGATAACATTACGCTTTTACACTATTCATTGTCTATGACTTGCATGTTTTTTCATGTTATAATAATAGCAAACAAATACTTAACAGCTACCATACGACTTGTTGCAAGTAATAAAAAGCCTGCAAGGTATTATACAATATAGATGTTCTTATCTTATTCTCATCAATAACAAGGTAACTGCATGCTATTTGAACAAACATCAATGTTCTAAAGGAAGTGTGAATTTATGGGTCGTGATAGTTTTCGTTGAAGTTTTAAGAAGACATTTGCAGCTATCAATTCTGCATTTCGCAGCTGTTTAAAGGATATTTGAACGATCCGATGCACAAATGCATCAATTAAGTGAGGCGTTTGTTGTAAATGATATTGTATATAAGGTGTTAGGGATAAAGTAAATGTTCACCTAAGGCTATTTATCTAATGATTCTACAATCCTTTTTTTCGAGTATAACTTTTTAATCAAACAATGTTTTTCATATTCATATCTTAATCGTGCTAATAAAGACATTTCTTATATATACAATATTGAACAATGACTTGCAAAACTAACGCTAATTATTATTTGTTTGGCTGTCTTAAAAAAAAAAAATGTTTATGTAATATTAATAACTATTTAATAATTACCATTTACACGTTTTGTTTATTTTAACAATAAAGGTCGTCCAAAATTAATTTAAGGTATTACTCATTTGCTAACGTATACAGTGTGCTCTTGACGCGTTCACATCAAAGATATATACTATCTACGGTTCCAAAGAAAAAAGTGCAAGTCTTGATCCAAAAGTCACAAAACAAACATTCAAAGGTACCAGACTTGTCAATTTGAATACTTTGTTATAAAAAAGTTGGAAATACCTTGTTTATAATTCAATTTGAGAATGCGAGTGAATCTTCCTAATTTTTACTAATTGACTAACTGACAATGTAACATGATGTGTCTATAATGCATTAATGTTTACAAGTTTCCGTTTAGCTAGTCGATTAGGTCTTAGGAAATGGCCAATTAATATTTTACGTTTGTCCTTTGTTTTTTGTGTGCTTTTGTTTTCCTTTTTGCGTTCTTTTGTTTCTTTTATTTTTAGTTCAATCTTTAATCTAAACACAGCAGACTAGAGTGGATATATACATATATAATAAAAAATTATCAATGCATCATATTAATGAAAATATTTTAGAAAGAATAAAGTTGTATGATACATAAGGTATTGATATATTTCTAACGAAAGACTTATTGATAATTTAACTCTAAAAACTACATTTATTTTGGTATAGTTAATTGAAAAACGAATGTTTTTTGTCTCTTATCATTCAGACGGTTAATATGATGATCTGTATTTGTTTTTGTCTTAACACACATCATTTTTATGAATGCCATGACATCTTTTAAAGTCCGTGAGTTGCGGGTTTGTTCTATGCTTTTCCACTTAACTCATGCCACCGTAACTGCTTTTCGCTATAATAACAATTGATAACACTTTAAACCTTAACATACATGTTATTACAATAGCTTTACATTTTTTAAATGTTTGCCTGGATTGTTTAATGGAAGTTAAATGATTATATTTTACATCGAATTTTAAAAACAATTTTGACTTAATCATTTATAAATGGGCAAGTTAAAAAAAAAGGGTCCGAAACATCTGCTTTATGAACATCCTAAAATCCTTAGGCATAAATTACTACAAAATAGTAATAGTCGAACTTCTTCTTTTTCTTTGTATTATCTACATATGTAACTATAGACAGGACACCTCTAATAATATTAAAGTATCAGGATAATTTGCCGGATACATACATACTGTAAGATTAAAAAGAAACTAAACACTTGGTGATTTACCTTTTGGCTAAACATTTTCAAAAAACAAATTGTGCTATTTAGGTGTTCCTCATTTGTTAACGTATACAGTGTGTTCTTCCGTTGACGCGTTCTCATCAAAGATATATATTATCTAGGCTTCCAAAGTAAAAGTGCAAGTCTTGATCCAAATGTCACAAATATACAATCAAAGGTATTAGGCTTGTAAATTTGAATACTTTGTTAATAAAAGTTGGAAATACTTCTTTGTTATAATTTAACGTGGTAATGCGAGTGATTTGTTCCTAATTGTCACTATTTGACTAACTGACAATGTAACATGATGTGTCTGTAATGCATAATTGGTAATATGTTTCAATTGAGCTAGTAGATTAAGTCTTAGAAAATAGTCAAATAATATTTTGCTTTTGTCCCTTGTTTAATGTGTGCAGTTCTGTTTCTGTTATGCGTTCATTTGTTTCTTTTATTTTGAGTTCAATATTAATCTAAACACAACCAGACAGTTGATAATACATATGTATTTATATAAAGAAAGATTTATCAGTGTAACATATTAATGAAAATATTTGAGAACCAATAAAGTCCGATAATTGTCTTCTTGTCCTTAAATGTTTTGTAATATGCTTGGTCTGTATGCCATTGTTTGCTTTTTTGTTTCATGTTTGTATTTGTTTTAGTGATTAGGGTTAAAGCAAAATGTTGACTGCTGTATTATTGACATTTTTACATGAAATGTATGTCTGTTTTGTTTACGCATCGTTGTCAATATAATTGAATTTAATGCGACTGTCATACAAGTGAGAGGTTTAGCTAGCTTTAAAACCAGGTTCAATCCACCATTTTTCTACATTAGAAAATGCCTGTTCCAAGTCAGATATATGGCAGTTGTTATCCATTCGTTTGATGTGTTTGCCATTTGATTAGGGACTTTCATTTTTAAATTTTCCTCGGAGTTTAGCATTTTTGTGATTTTACTTTTAGCGTAGAAATAATTTTGTTTTGTTTCAGAAAACTATGTACAGCACAATATGTAGATGGTTTTTAGTATATGTTTTTATGAATGTGACTTTAAAAAGAATATATACAGTTTTAGCTTTTATTTTGTTTATCATTACAAACTTATCTTATTTACGTGTGTGTGTGTGTATTATGTGTGTCTATGACATTAGTATTATAAAAATAAGAGATGCTCATAAGAAGTATATATATGTTTAAAGTATGAATGTTTTAATAACTTAAAAAGCAGCTTGGGCTTACAATATATATAATTTTGAATTTGTCTTGTCTTCTTCAAATATTATTCAATGATGAAAATCTAAAATATATCTCTTTCATTACATACTGTTTAATAATGTGATAACTAGAATACTCAATATGATTAAAATTATATCAAAATTATACATCGAATATAAAGATAATTTTGTGCCATATTGTAAATATTTGTCCTATTTTAAAATACAGAGGATACCTATAATGATATTCATGTCAAATTAAAATTAAAGATAAAACAAAAACCAATAAAAGCAAAACAAAATGAAATTAATATAATAGAGAATATTAATGATTTATACTATAACTGCCTCACTTGAACATTTGAGTATATGGAACTCTTGTTACTTATACTGCATCATAATAGTATATCGCTAGTATCGTGCTTGTATACGGGCGTTTTGCGATTCTTCATGATAATATTATCAAAATATAAAGTTATGGGTCTACATTTCTATTCATTCTTCACTTTTTTCATGAATACGAAATATAAGCTTTTATTTCAAAACTATTCACTAGTATACCTGTCGCTATTTATAGATTTACTTTCGCATGTTATTATTTGATGTTTAATTCATCAATTAATTCTATTATCTTGACATGAAGTTGAAACAATAAGTTTTTACTGTTTTCCTCTATCTTGGTTTCGAGTTTACTGCGTATGTTCAAATTCCTTTGAAATTATTATACTCCAGTAGCAAACAGGTTATTTCTATCTTGTTTAAGCAAAATGAATTCCAGTTAGTTGGATCAATATTATCCAATATTTCACCTTTCATCTCTACATAGTATTTCTTTCCTATGGTACTTAACACTGTACATGATGTAACCATATACACTATGTATTCATTTTCTGCATGACACAATTGACATACAGTTCTGCTAAAAAGTGTGTAATCTTGTGTTTGTATGACTGTAAGATATATGATCAAGTAATCATTTAGGCTTTTAAAATAGCTTTTCCTAGCTCTAGTTCTGGTTGATTTTCCAAATTCCAAACGACTTGTGCAGTTTGTCCAATTTCTAGGCTTTCTATGTTCATATATTCTAGACTGGTTATATTAAGAGCTTCATATTTTATTTGATCGTTCCTATATTGATTTATTTTTTTCTTAGTTTCTCAATTCCAGTCATTTCTTTTTCGAATGTTTTTCTGTAGATAATTGTTGGAAGATAGATCATACATCTTGAGTATGTTCAGTATTCTGCTGAAAAAAAACATATCTTGTTGTCATAATTAGTGGCAATTTGTCTATTCATAACTTCTATTTATTTTGCTGTTGTCACATGATATAATGGTGTATAAAAGTGAAAGTTATACGTATTTCAGCTTCTATAGGCAAGGTTCCTCATACTAATAAGAAAGCAGCATTTGATGTTCTCTCTGGTAGAGACTACAGATACCTCAACATTTTCCTGTGGAATATTTCTAGTTCCTCTGTATTTGATTTTGTCAATAGTAAAACTTCTCATCCATATGCATGATATGTTATCATTGGTGTAACATATGTCTTATATATATGATACTGCAGGGTTAAGTCCGTTTGCACCATGCGCACCAGAACCCATAACTTCATACTTTGCTCTTCTAGCTGTTTGTATTCTTTCTTTTATGTTGAAGTTATGTTCTTTATCATTTGTTCTCTTTATTCCTAGATGCTCATTACAATCAGTTGATTTTACTATGTAGCCTTCCATTGTCAAGTTTTAATCTGTTTTCTGTTTTTATCAATCGATTATTTCTGTTTTAGTAGGATGAATTTTAGAATTATGCTCTTTAACATATATGTCTTTTACATTCAACATTATTTGTAATTCATATTCGTTGTTTGAGATAAACATGATAAAGGCTATATCATCTGCACAAGTTGGTGCTCCTACATATATGTCTCCCAAATGACATTCTAATGAGTTCTGCTCTAGTTCTATCAATAGATTTTGTACAAATGTGTTGTATGAATGTGTCGAGAGTAGTAAAAGTTGACAAAATTTCAAGCATCATCAATTTTCCGACAATTTGTTGGGGTGTGTTGGTTGCTGCGATTCCTATTTATAAGTCTATAAAGAAATTTGAGAATTGAGGTTGTCCATTATCTATTAGTATAGATTTTGCTGACTGTTAGCTTGTTCCATTCTTATTTTCAAATTTCTATTAGCAGTATTTGAACCTTGGAGATGATTTCCATTTTGGTTTCTTCAGTTGCAGTACTTTTTTTCGAATTGTATTATTTCCTGCTCTTAAGAGGCTATTTTTAATTAATTTTCTTCCATAATTGTTGTAGCATCCTGTTGAATGAGGTTGTTGTATTGCTTGTTTTCTATTTGATCCCATTCGTACTTTCACTACAGCTACTGTGTTATTCTTGGGATCTCTGTGTTTCTATATTTGTGAGATCTTGGCTAGATTGATATGCCATTGTAGGCATGTTTGTAGTTAGATCATCTGTATGATTTACTTTTACATTGCGATTCTGAACATTACTAATAAGATGAGGTAGGCGTCCAGGTTTCGTATTCTGTTGGATAGTCTGGGTATTCAAATTTTGGCTTGACATATTACATGTACGTCTTTGGTGGTTCTGTTGATGTATATGATCATTATTATAGGAATGAGACAAACCATGAAGACGTGTTCCTTGTTGAATGTGATGGTTTACTATTGGTGTTGAGGGAATATTAGTTCTTGGCATTTGATGTTGCTTCATATATGTTGGTGTTCCCTAATGTTGATTCATATATGTTGGTGTTCCATTGTTTTGATCCATATGTGTCGGCGCTTGATATGGTCTACACATTCTTGAAGGTATGTTGGTACTATGATATATGGGTTCATGTATGCTGTATTCAAATTATTTGCTGTCCCAAATGCACAGTGTATGGGTGTACTAAATATAAAAAAGAAGATGTGGTATGATTGCCAATGAGACAACTCTCCACAAGAGACCAAAATGACACAGAAATTAACAACTATAGGTCACCGTGCGGCCTTAAAACCTTGCTTTGTGTTGAATAAATGGTAAAACAGGAGGATGCTGTTTGCTTGCAGTGCAATTTGAGTTGTCAAAGCAGTTTGGATGCACATATTCTGCATCATGCGAGTTTCAATCGGTCGTATCTGATGGTCAAGAAGCATGTCTCTGCGGTGGTTCTGTGCCATCTGATATTGTTGGTATTGGTCTGTCCCATGTGCATGTTCATTTGTCGTCTCATTCTGACTTGACGTGTCCGTTTCAGATTGAATAGCATCAATGACAGGTGATGCTAAATTTCTAGTAATAGTATCATAAAATTGAGAATGGAAATGGGGAATGTGTCAAAGAGACAACAACTCGACCATAGAGCAGACAACAGCCGAAGGCCACCAATGGGTCTTCAAACAAATATATATACTAGTTCAGTGATAATGGACGTCATACTAAACTAAATTATACACAAGAAACTAAAATTAAAAATGAAACAAGACTAACGAAGGCCAGAGGCTCCTGACTTGGGACAGGCGCAAAATGCGGCGGGGTTAAACATGTTGTTTGAGATCTCAACCCTCCCCATATACCTCTAGCCAATGTAGAAAAAACAAACGTACAACAGTACGCACAGTAAAACTCAGTTTAAGAGAAGTCCGAGTCCGATGTCAGAAAAGGAAACAAAAGAAAATAAACAAAATGACAATAATACATAAATGAACAAAGGACTACTAGCAGTTACTGACATACCAGCTCCAGACCTCAATTAAACTGATTGAAAGATTATGTCTTCATCATATGAAAATCAAGTACAATCCCTCCCGTTAGGGGTTTAGTATCATACCATCATAATATATATGAGAAGAACATAACCCGTATCATGCCAACAACTGGTTTTAGAATAAATGTGTTTAATTCCGATGCAAAGACCCTATAAGTGAATCAATGCTAATACCAAAATATGCAATCCTTAATGACTTTACAACAGTATCGTAACTATATCCCTTCTTAATAAGTCTGTTTAAAGGTTTTGTTAGCTTTTGAGGTGAATACTGACATTTTTGGGCTTTGTAAAGAATGTTACCATAAAAGATTGGATGTGAAATACCCGAACGTATAAGATGTCTGCATGAGTTATATTTACGAATGATGTCCTTATACTGATGATAAAATTTAGTAAATGTTTTGACTAGTTTATGATATCGAAAACCCTGGTGTAATAATTTTTCAGTAATACATAAGTCATAGTTTGTTGTGTCACTATTGTTTGATCTTTATCAGATCTTTTAATTTCTGGATAAGGTTTGGTACATGTTTCTTATCACCTAATTGTTTTCTTTCATTTGACTGCCCAATTTCTTTATCCTCCATGATTTTAATATTTGATTAATTATGGTTGGTTTCGGTGACATCACTGATGTTTCTTATGAAGCTGATTGAATTGTATTTTTATCTTCTTCATTTAATGGACAATTTTTATCTTTGCTTTTCAATGTTCCAGTACTTTATTGTATCGCCACTGTCTGTGTTTGTATCCTTATTTTTCTTTATGTTCTCTGCACTTTGTGAATGGTCAACTTCTATACTTGAGTTGAATATTCCTGTAAATTTTGGAGTGCTCCATTATGATTGAATTCAACGTTAGCATCAAATTTCCAATACATTTCTTTTTTCATTCAACATATCGTAGTTTCATAATCGGCATATATATTCAATATGTTTCAATGCTCCATTGCCAATGTAATTTTGGATGTTTTCACAAATATATTGATACAAAAATCACACCTATTACAACCAATACTATCATTTATTTCCTGCAGCCAAGCCAAATATGTTTTATACTGATTCGGAATATTTTGTAATTAGATTTTGACTGCTGAAGTCCTTATACTGGCTACTATTCAGATTATGAATTTTTCAGTCTGCTTACATTCCTGATTTATTTCCTTGTTGATTTAGATTTCCGTACCACTTTAGAAGTGTAATTTTCCATCTGTGAACTATAAGATTGTATATTTTTGTTAAGTAAATGTATTTTGCCGTACTCATCTTTTAATTTTTCACATAATCCACCAAAGATATCATTTATAATTAGGTCCACTATTTTACCATTTACATTCATTGAGCAGCTTGTGTGGTATATATGGTTAGTAAACTTTAGCATGGTGCCAGCAAGTCACTTTTGCTTCTAATTTGATACTCTGTAGCAGCAATCAACGGTAAGCCCTGCATTTTCCTCGCCATCTTATTTGCATTCCTCAGAATTATATAATAATTCATTGATCTCTTTCTTGATAATTTCGTAAGCTCCAGTACTCATTTCTACAACAAAGTTCATTCCTGAATTTTTAATTTGTAACTGAGATGTTGTCTTTTGCAGGCATCTGATTTTGTTTGTAACGCTTTCCCCCTTGTCTAAGGTATATGCTCTTGTGTTTTTAAGAATGGGTGGAGATCCCCTATGGAACAGATTTTCTTTACATGTATCTGTCTTAGTTCCATATTTTCTTTTTCATTATATATTAGGTATACATTTTTGTATATAAATATTTCCTTTGATATCTTCCTTAAATTTGATGCAGCTTAATCTATTTATCACATGAAGTTGCTTTATCTATTAAAGGCTTCAGGATTATGATCTAAATTAGTTATTCCAAGAGAGCACAAGGGTTTAGCGCGGAATCCAACACTGACCTTATACTCAGTATTTGGATAACCTGCTAATAAATTGTATAGCGCCGTAAATCTATATATACCTACTTTTATTTTATATATATTTGACCATGATGCAGTTGTTATTTATATCTTTTTCTCTGGTTTCAACTTGATTTTCTGGTACCCAACAGTCTTGGATTGATAAATTGCATCAACCAGGCTCTGGCTAGAGGGTAACTTGGGTGTATTCCGTCGTAGAGAAGGACGATATTATACAGTCTGCGACTTTTGGTGTCTCCGTGTCTTTTGCTTTCAGTATCTCCTTTATATTGCTTTGCTTGCCTAATTGATGCACGGTATAGATCCGAGTTGAAGTTTGCTGGTTTGTGGTTGTCCTCTTGATTTATCTTTTAGATTTCTTTGTTTACTTCTATAGTGTGGCTTTCAACTAAATGATCCTCATCTGTTTGGTTTTTTTCTGCCAAATCTACAGCGTTTGTGTACTTGAATTGTTTTCTCTTTTTGCTTTTCATTCCATGCAAAGATAAAAAAAATGGAATTTCCAGGATAGTACGGTTGCTGTTTTGAGTGAGTCTTTTCAGCTTTTTTAAAATTTCTATATATATATTTGACAGGTGGTCTACTATCTCCTGCATACTCTGGTATTTAATTTTAATTAGCTTTGTATTTATGTTTAAATCAGTGAAATCACATGTACCAATTTGAATATATAGCCACATATCTTTTTTCAATAAGTTGAAGTTCTGTTGTCAGATTCTCCTTTATCCAGGACACTGCCGAGTTAGCGTTTCGTCCTCTTTCACACCACCATGTGATGTCCCTGTATGTGCTGAGACTGATATTTTTGATTTTGTATTTTGGCATCTATACTGTAAACTAGGAGAACTGGCCTATATATTTGTGGTCCTTTTGGTGATGTAATTGGGCGATTTGCCCTTTTCATTAACTTTACCAATGACATGTATGTTGTTGGATAATAAGTATGTTGTTGGATAATAAGTATGTTGTTGGATAATAAGTATGTTGTTGTGGGGTATGTTGATGTAAATAAACAATATTTTCAGGTCACCCGTTAAACAAGCACGATCCGACACTGATCACAATAAAAAATAAAAAAGTATATAAATGTATAATAGGAAAAAGTCAAGATAAACAGTCAATATGAAAAAGTTTAATTTGTATTTTGGCAGAGTCGGATTTACAAATACAATGGTTTTCTTGTGGATTTTTTTGTCTTAATGTGTCAAGATGGCGATCAAATGGAAAAGACAAAATATGAACAAGTTTGATTTGTATTTTTGGCAGACTCGGGTTAATTACATGCAAGGGCTTTGTTTGTTCGTTTGTTTTGTGTTTTTTTATTTATTATTTGTCTCACTGCATCAAGATGACGATCACGTGATAAAACAAATGGCGGTCATTATGAAAAGGTTAAATTTGTGTTTTCATGTAACCTCAGACTAAAAGGAACACAAGGGTTTTTTTTTGTTTTTTTTGTTTTTGTTTTTTGTCTATTTGTATGTATAACAATGTGCATAAAAATAAATGCCAAACTAAAACCATTTGCAAAATTTAGTCTGATCCAGAATACACCGAGCACAAGTCAGTTGTTTACGTTAAACTAAAAAATGAAATTATGAACTTATAATGAATGGTCGAGGACAAATGATATCAGTGTCAGACGATAATTGGTTGGTGGTGAAATGAATATGTAAACTTTAAACACAATCCATTTCAGCGGCACACTACGTTTTTCTCCGTTTTGATATGATTATAACAAATAAAACTACTAAAACATCTAACATGCGTGTGTGTCTCAATGTCAATTTTATTATTGGTTTCTATTGGTAAGCGAATTGAAGTTTAGTTTGTTTTCTTTTGTTCCGAATTTGTTTTTTGTTTTTCAGTGATATGAGCAAATACTTACCAGCTACATTCATCGTCAATGCACTCCCTGAAAAAAAAAAAAAAAAAACAAAATCTAAATCTAAACACCCGTAAAAACGGTTATGATTATACTACAAAGAATGTTTTTCTACATTTCTAAGTAGATGTATGTTAAGGGCATACGATACAGTTACAGGGGAGGTAATTACGTTGCTAACGTAAATTTGATTTTCGCGACGTCAAACATGTCAAACGGAGACTTATCGGGAAAAGATGCAGTTTTCGGCTGATTTTTATCCTTCAAACTGATTTAACTTAAAAACGAGTTGATGGATCCCTCTTTTATAAAGTGACATTTGGTTTAATTACGTAAAAAGATTATGTGTACCAATTTTCATGAAAACGTAAATAGTGCATTTTTTTTAATTTGATTAATATACAGCAAAAAATGACGTTTTTTTTCTACATTCATGAACATTAATTTTGATAAATTTCAGTTATTTGTAAAGATAAAATGTACAAATTAATACAATATTTATATAAAACATAAATTACAAATAGTTTATCAAAGAACTGCTCGTGTTTATCTTTTAAAACAAAAAGTTATGTATTTCTATCGAAAGGAAAAATACGTCCACAAATCCGTATTTTGTAGAAATATCTGAAATTTGAAACTCAATTTACTCAAAAAGTAGCACATGAAGGTATGTTTTTTATTACATATTTGATTTAATCAGATACAACATAGCTTACATGCAAATTTTCATCAAAATTTCAATATCAAAACTGTATCGTATGTCTTAAAGAGCAATACACATAATACATATAGCTAATGCGTATAGATACAGCGTAAACAAAATAAATCGCTACTATTCTGATTATAATTCTCACTTATGTTATACATTATCAGTCAAAAATCAATCTTTGATAACAACAAACATTATATAAATTCACATGTTATACGGTATCACAAAACATATAATAGAAAATGAGACACAATCATAATTTTCTAATGCGAATATTGCAACTGGCATAGAGTTATAATAATAATAACTCGCATTTTGATATCTGATACATACTCTTGTATGAATACTTTCGTGAAATCAAAATAATTAATCTCGACTTTCTCAATTATTTTTTTTTCTAATTCACGCACTAATTTCAGATTTTACAGAGTTATCATATTTTAAGCGTCTTCTTTTGTTACTAAGCAAACTTTTCATTTTTTATTGCTTGTTTGACTTTTTGACTCTTTTTTTCCTTTTGTGTGGGAATATTTATTTACTATATATGCTATATACTATAAGGTACAAAAACATGTTTAACCCCGCCGCATGTTTGTGCCTGTCCCAAGTCTCTGTCCTTTATTAGTATTGTATGTTTTTTTAATTTTAGTTCATTTATGTGTTTTGGAGTTCATAGAACTAGTACACATTTTGTTTAGGGACCAGCTGAAGCCCGACTCCGAGTGCGGGATTTTCTCGCCCCAATTTTTATTCTCAATTTTATTTCCTCAGCGTCGTCACATTTTCAAACATTTTTTTTTTGTTAGCGTCTTGTGTGTTTTAGGTCTGTGATGTACATGTATGTATAAACAGTTTTGTATTCTTGGTTCTAAATATTGTCATATATTCTTTTATGCCTGTTTGGTATACTCACCAAATTCTGTCTATAAACAAATGTCACCCACGTCGGAGGTTTAGCTAGCAAATAAACCAGATTTAACTTACCATTTGCATGTGAAGTTATCTGTACCCAGTCCGGAATGTGACAATTGGTCTCCACTCGTTCCGTATTTTATTAACTTTTGATTTTGTCAGCTTTTATGGACTACCATTCTTTAATCGTATTTCTGTTTATTTAAATTCATTTTTACACACAACAACCTACCATTTCATATACATAAATATAAGGTACAGTATTATACTGCTGTTTAAAAATCATAAATTGATTGAGAGAACTCAAATTTTGGTTAGAAACTATAACCGATGGGAACACATCAACTATAAGAAAAAAACTTAAGAACAACAGGAAAACTGAAGTGCACCAAAAACAAACGCCAACATACATAGAATAAGATTATAACTGGATAATTCACGTTGTAAACTAAAGTATACTTTAACAAATGTGTAGGTCTTCAGGGAACAACACATTATGCAATAAAAAAAATACACCATTGCCATGACCATTTGTGTATTCTCAAGGACAATGCATTGATGCGAGATGAAAATTTTATTTTATAAACACATCTCCATGAATGTATGATTGTGATATGATAATTAAAAGTGATACATATTTGTTACTTACATAAACAAACCTTCACCGCTGAAATATGAGATAAAAAAAATGTTAGTTCAGGAAACATTTTAAATCAATTTAAACTGTGACTTGTATAATTAATTACTAATAATCTTAATAACATTTTGTAAGTTCTATAATGTCTACTCGAAATATAGTCAAAGAAGCCATGTGTGTTTTGCGTATTGCATATGTATATTGTATGTACGATCATCCAATATTTTAATGATATTTGGCGATTTCTCCGAAAACCTTGTTGCGGTATACATGGTATAGGGTATGATAACTTGTTGAATCATCGGAGTGTAGAAAAATAAGCGTTTATATTTACTATGATTTGACATTCATTATTCTAAAAAGAAAGAACACACTGTATTGACACGAAAGTGATTAGTTTTGACCATCATGATTTTGCAGATGTAGATTAGATAGTTCATGTCATCGCTATATAAATAAGACCACACGCCTTTCGTCACTAAAAAATACATTGGCTTTTTAAACAGATAACCGAACAAATATATCCATTCCTTCCTTACATTTAACTTATACATAGTCTATTTGTTATCTATGTTACTTTTGTACATAATTGATAGTCGGAGAAACACACTTATAATTCTCTGAAGTATGTACTATTATCTATTTGGTCAATACAGTTTCATCGATAACCGATGTTTTCTTTTTCAACTTAATTCACAATAAATTTAAGTATTCTGCAAAGGATAATTTAACACTTCGACAATTTAGTTATGCATGTTAGTAAAGCGACCTTAACAATATTTAAACAGGGAAGAATAATTAAATGTTGAATACGTACCCATCAAAGCTACTGCTGCGTTCTGGCTCTATCCTGCAAAAACAATCAACTCACTTTTTACTAGTTTTCACTAGAATCACACATCAAAAACTGTAATTGAAGAACAGTATATTTTTATATGTGGTGTGTTTATTACTGGAATATTTCTTTCACACATTATGTTTTGAATGTCTAGTTGTCGTTTTAATTATGATCACTGTGTGGTCTCTATCTCTATGATTTTCTTTGAAATATGAGATAAAAAAAATGTTAGTTCAGGAAACATTTTAAATCAATTTAAACTGTGACTTGTTTAATAATTACTAATAATCTTAATAACATTTTGTAAGTTCTATAATGTCTACTCGAAATAAAGTCAAAGAAGCTATGTGTGTTTTGCGTATTGCATATGTATATTGTATGTACGATCATCCAATATTTCATTGATATTTATAGTCTGTTTGTTATCTATGTTACTTTTGTACAAAATTGATAGTCGGAGAAACACACTTATAATTCTCTGAAGTATGTACTTTTATCTATTGGGTCAATACAGTTTCATCGATAACCGATGTTTTCTTCTTTCAACTTAATTCACAACAACTTACGTATTCTGCAAAGCATAATTTAACACTTCGACAATTTAGTTATGCATGTTAGTAAAGTCACCTTAACAATGTTTAAACAGGGAAGAATAATTAAATGTTGAATACGTACCCATCCAAGCTACTGCTGCGTTCTGGCTCTATCCTGCAAAAACAATCAACTCACTTTTTACTAGTTTTCACTAGAATCACACATCAAAAAGTGTAATTGAAGAGCAGTATATTTTTATATGTTGTGTGATTATTACTGGAATATTTCTTTCACACATTATGTTTTGAATGTCTAGTTGTCGTTTAAATTATGATCATTGTGTGGTCTCTATTTCTTTGATTTTGATTTTTTTTTAATTTTCTATTGACATGCGCCCCTTGATGCCCTAATACCTTTTCTCTATAACATGTATAATGACAGTGTGATTTTGCGTTTAAATGTATCTATCTTTTTAAAATAGTGTCAGTTTTCAATTTTTTCTACTTCACAAGAATTGAAAGAAAATAAAGGACATGCAAATACATATAATAATATTCGTTTGATATAGACATTTTTTTCTATTTTATCTATAACGTCAGACGCAGGGAAAATCAACAAAATTGAAAGTGAAAGATTGGTACGAAAATCTCATGATATAAAATTCGAAGTGATGTTTAAAAAAAGTTAAGCATCATCGAAGTATTAAATAACTAGTTCTTACCGAAAATTTGCATTTCTTTACTAGAATTATCTCCGTTATACATTCCCTGGCTATGTTTTTCTTTGAGAGGAGACAGAGTCGTTAAGTATTTTGAAACATTGTACAAAAAACAAAAATTATGTTTTCAAAATACTAAATCACTCTGTCTCCTCTTAAAGAAAAACCTTTCTAATATTATATATACTAGAAATCATCTCCTGGACAACTATAGCAGTTGATATTAATACCAAAAAAAAAACAACGCACAAACATAACCATTTGAAAGCCAGGGAATATATAAGACGTTTTGACGTTAGAAACTACATAACCACAAGGAAACCTCAAAAGATTAGCCAAATTCAGCCCCGCTTAACTTTGCTATAAGACATTATACAATTTATCATTTACCTAAACTACTTGCGTACTTCGATAGCCGACTAAAACTACATACTGTATTGTGTACATTTACATTTTTTTTTAGGAAAACGAGTCCAAATACCACCATTTATTAAGTGCAAACATTTACTCTTTTTTTGGCAAAACAGGCAAATTGCTGTGATTCTTATTTATAAAAATTTAGTAAAAGATAAAGAATATTTTTAATATTGACAAACTTTACTTGATACCCATAAACAACTCAGTAAATTATAGCATGTATGAATAGAGCGTTCACACCAATGACGTTTTCCGTGTGAAAAAAGACCACCTTTGTATATTTGATTTCTATTACTGCTTATTTTAGAAACATATACTTACGTTGAAACCTGCTCAGTACTGTAAGAAAAAATACAGAAAAGATATCAATTAACAATACAAAAACACACAAAACTTTAAAGGAGTATGACATTTTGTTCAAAAGTTCAGACACATTTTTTTATTAGCAATTCATAGCAGGTTTAATCTAACAGACTTATATCTCTACACACTGTCTCATTCCAAGACCAGGCAAGTGATGCAGCAAGAAGAGTTATGCCGCTGCCCATACATGTATAAGGGTTATAGTATTATGAATATTTTAAATACATTGTTCATTACAAATAAAACACATCACCGGACACATATAACATTTATTGATGTTTATATGCATTTTAATGTGTTGCCTTTTTAACACTATCAGATGATGTTCAATCGTTTAGTCACGTTAACATTTTTGTAGATATGTCTCTCGGAAATTTAGCTTACAGTCCATATCATACTGTTTATAAGCTTTACAGACACATCAGTAATTTGGTGTTTAGTGTCATTCAATGACAACTGCTTAAAACCCTAATCATATTTCGAAAATGTCACAATTGGTTTCAATTTCATCAATTTTAGAAGACATTATCAAATACGTTTATTTTGAAAAATGTACATGGGTTAAAATCTTTGTTTTAATTCCATATTACAGTATGCCATAACTATTTGTTGATTTTCAATATAATTCAATTTAAACTAATCCAACTGGTATGAATAGATATGTTTTGAATGATGAATAACTGAGCACTGTAGACCAGTATACTAATATACCTTTTGGGCTCATAGAAAACCCCTAATGTAGATGTTTGTTTGAGTAAATTAGAAATAGTTTTCACTTTTAGTCAATATGTTTAAATGTCTTTATTTATTGTTTATCATTAAAATAATGGAAATAAGTTATAATTTTACTTGAAATCAAAAACATTCAATTTGTGAAAATAAATATCAAGGCCAAAAATGTTAGTAATGACAATTGCTATTATATTGATCTCACATTTACAAACATAATGGAAATAATATTTACAATAAGTCAGTTTACACACCTCACACCATTACAAAAACAACATTGTCAATGTGGCAAATATTTAACTTACCAGCAATTCGTGCACATGTAGATGTACCATTGCACTGATGGTGACCTAAAATATGATTTTTTAGAGTGTATTCCTCATGTGTTTCAACAACCTGCAGGTATTTGCAAAATGCGACAAGTACAAGACATATCTTTAGATGTCAAACTTAATTGTTCAGTGAAAGTTTGTATGTTTTTGTTAATATTTCTCTTTGATCCAGTTTAGCCATTTCAATCGATATTTCATAATGTGCTTTTCTATGTTGTAATAATATACTGCTGTTACAGGTTAAAGTAGATGTTGGCGTTTGTTAAAACGTTTAAACCCGCTGTATTTGATTGCAGCTGTCCAAAGTCCGAAACATGTTGTGCAGTGGTTGTAGTTTGTTGATGTGGTTCATAAGTGTTTCTCGTTTCGTTTTTTTATATAGATTAGGTCGTAAGTTTTCATGTTTGCATTTTATTACACTAGTAATGTTGAGGCCAGTACTAGTTTGCTGTTCTGGAGGATAGTGATTCGAGGCTCTGTGTTGAAGGCCGTGCTTTGACCTTTAATAGTTTCCTTTTTACAAACTGTAACTTGGTTAAGGACTTTCTCATTTGCACTCGTACTACATCATGTGTGATCTATTGACAAAGTTGTGGCTTAAAATAAAACAAAAACACGATCAAAAGACACAAAACACAATAAACGACCGAGTTATGTAAACACCTACAAAACCCAAGAATGGTCTCATGAGCGCTGGTAGGGGAATTTAGTATCCAAAAGATTTAATATCAATGATAACAGTGAATTTTGATAACAGACAATCGTATGATAGTGTGATTTCTAAAACAAAATCCATATTGAAAAAAAGAATTGAACCTATAGTTATTAAAGTAGTGTCAACTTTTTTTCTGCTCCTTATGACTTCCAGCTTCTAATATTGTACCTGTACAAATATACGTATTGATTTGTTGTACGGTTGACTGATATATGTGTCTAGTAACAAAAAGTTAAATAACACCAAAATACCGAAATCCGAATATATTCTAAACGGAAAGTCCCTAACTAAATAGCGATATCAAAAGCTCAAACAGACAAAACCAATGGATAACAACTGTCATATTCCTGACTTGGTACAGACATTTTCTTTTTGTAGACAATGGTCGCTTAGACCTGGTTTTATAACTAGCCTAACCTCTCATTTGTGTGATAGTAGAATACAATTCTAACAAATCGACAACAATGTGCTTACAAAACAAACAGATATATTAATTAGGTAAAAATGTCAAAAACAGGGGTATAGAAGTCAAATTTGTGTTATAATCTTAATCACTATAACAACAAAAACATATGTCATAAAAAAACACATACAAAAAGACATGTACTGTTGAATCATTAATATTCATTAATATTCGTTGGATATAAATTTCATGATTTTGCGAATACATGTGTGTGGGCTCCTTTATTTATGTGCGACCATGATAATGCTTTTCAAATAAAATCATTTCATGTACATTCCTACATAATGTTCAACATCAGCAAACATTGACGATGACTCTGTATCATGATCAGTAAAATATGTTAATAAGTCACTCTTGCAACTAAAATTCAATGAGTGGTCACACTTAGGTAAACAGCGATCATATACCTACTATATATTATTAATGTAATAATGAATATTATTCTTAAGAAAGTACTTAGGTGAAATGAAACAAAAAAAATTAAAAATTGATACTATAAGTAGAAAGGGTATTAGTTAAGGAACAAAATAAGCTTAATGTATTGATATATTTCGAAACATTACAGTGGATGTCAGTGTTTTCCAGGAACGCTTTACCTTCCCTAAAACACAAACAAATCACTCCATAATTAGCTGAACTAATGTTGAATAAATGTACAGCAAATATTTCTTAACTCATTTTTTCAATAAGCATATGACAGGTTCTGGTAAGGTTAATAAGTTATGATCCAAAAAATATTATTGCATACGTCCAAAGGTTACAAACGTAGGATGAAATAAATTGTCTATTGACAGTGACATAATAACGTTACCTGTACAAATCATAGTAAACACCATTCAAACCATGCTAATGTTATACAACACGAAATAGTAATGGAAAAGAAAACAATGATATACATATAATTTGTCTGAAACGCCTTTCATACTTAAGGATGTTTGCTTCTCTGTTTCAAATTAACAAACTTTTTATAAGATTGGTATAAATTGATAGCATAAAACTAAAGGAACTTATAAAGAAAGAAAGAATTGATGGGTGTGTGGGCTTGCTTTTGAGATATAAGTCATTGACAGTTTTGCGGTTTATGATTCTCTCTAGATTTTTCATACAGTTAACATTGGCAGCATTTTATTTTCAAAAACTATGAAAATATAACAAGGATCTTAGAAGAATTTGAAATATGATTTTTAAGATTATATGCAATAAAATTATAAAAAAGATAGTTAGGGCTTAGTGAGCAAATGTTTTAATAGCCATTAGATGGATAAAACCAGAGGTTTCCGAATATCTGACAAAAATGCAAAAACAAGAGGAGCAAACATCCTTAAACGAAATGAAGAAAGCTATAGTAAAGACAGAAGAAAGCTGGAGAGGTATTTTTATTTAGAAATGTGAGGTCCTATATTACCAAAAAAAAAAAACAACACATTTCACATCAAGTAAGAATAGCATGTCTTAATAAAAAAAACTATGAGACAATAACTAAATTGTTGAAGGAAGGATTGGCTACCCAACAGATAAATAATTCGGTGACTAAAAAATGTACAAGTCCAACATTAGCGGCTTTAACTTAGTGCTAGAAAAATGCAAATAGTATATTCAAAAATTTATACCTCCTTAGTTTGGTCTTCGTGATATACGCCTTACTCCAAACATTTTACTCGGAGTTCAGTATTTTTTGTGATTTTCCTTTTTTTCAATGCGTTCTTTGAACCTTTATTTCATAAAAGTTTCACTTTGAAAAGATCCAACATTTATTTCAGAAACTATGTTACAAATCTTTCCGTGGAAAAAAAAGAAAAGCCAAATACACGTCATACTCGAAACATAATAAAAATCACCTTATACACGTTATGAGAGGGAACACCCTGATATTGAGGTGCACGTATAATATTTATTATTGAAGCAGAACAAGACAATGATGCTTACAAATGCGACTATTTCATTATTGCGAAAATGATTTGCTGATTTTCAGATACAAGTTTGATTATAAATTGAATTTAAAGCTGCACTATCTCATGCTTAAATGAACTTTAAATAATATTGTAATACTGAATGCTTGCAATCTGATTGTTTATTAGCATAACCGTCTGTAGTGTTTTATAAGAAATGTAATTGTTAAGTAAGCTACTGTTCGACTTATGCAATACATAAAACCTTGTTGTATGAAAAAAATTGTACGACATTTCAGTTTTAAACAATCCCCAGCAATATTTTCTTTCCTTTGTGACAGCTGTATCACTTATGAAAATATACCACTGTTATAAAACAGCCTTTGGAAAATGTTCTATGAAGCTATATATATGCGTTTGTTTTTAACAAATTCTAGTTGGTGTGTTATGCATCTTTATTTGGTGAACTGTTTTTTTTTTTAATTTTATTTTTAATTTTTTTTTTGTCATAGTGTTTATTTTTTAAGTATGCGTTTGAATTTCCATTTGGTATCTGATGCATTGCTACACGACACACCTTCAAATTGTAGGGAAATCATGTTTTTAAGAAAACATTTCTTATAAGGATGCAATTGTTAACACCATAATTGTCCTTTTCTATGAAGCGATAACTTACTTAAACTTCAACTCTCCGAACAGGCTGTCGATTTCTGTGCCTGCAGGCTTTTTCTTTTCGTATGATACAGACGACCTTTCGGGAACAGGTTTAGAATCTATATTGTCAACATCAAGTTTTAGTTGTTTCAGCTTTCGTAACATTAGTACGTCTGCTATTGTTTCCATTTCTGTAATGGTCTTTTGCCAATGTTGAAAGATTTCAAATTCTCCACGAAAAACCTTCGTTAGAACAGACATATTTTGTAATGCTTTTTGTTCCTTATCCTGCACGAGCTTTATAAAACTCTCTACTTTTTGATCGATCAATTTCTTCCAGTGTTTACCCTCATCAGTAATGGTCTTGATGACTGCTTTGACTTCTTCGCTGTAGATTTTCGTTTCTTTTTCAATTTTGCTGACATTTTGCCTCGATGTTGTTACCTTCGATTTAATGTCCTCAGCAAGTTCAGATTTAAGTTTTTCAGTAGATTTAGTAAGGTCTGTCATCAAATGGCGGCTGTGTTTTTCTACGTTGCAAGTTTTACACACAGGAGTATCACAATCTTGACAGAAGAAAAAAAACATTTCTTCGTGTTCTGTACAGAGGAGTTTTTCTTCCTTGTTGATGTTTATTCCACTTAGAAACGTGTGGTTTTTACTTATCTTTGTGCGTAAATGAGATAATTTACAGTTTCCGCAAAATAATTGATCACACTGCTGGCAGTAATGGTCACCTGGTTCGCCGGTACAGATTTCACAAGTCGAGTCTGCAGTTTGAGCCATTTTGATTCTTTCTTGTTATCACTGGCAACAACCTTTGTCTAGTTCGTTTAACTTTAACGCGTACTCTGGCCGCATAACTATAAATATATAATATAATTGATAAGCAATCTTTATAAATGATTTAATCAACATAGCTTTTGAAATGAATAAGTGTTTTTAAAACATTATACAACAAATATGTCAAATTATATCCAATGTTCCAAACATAATCAATAATTGAATATTGAATAAAAAACACATTGTACCAACCATTGAAATCTAACTCATAAAGAAGTTTTGTTACATATAAAATACTTTTTTAACACTAATCAATTGGTGTATATTGAATCACATTAGCTTGATCTGATTCCTTAATTAGTTAGCAATTCATAACCTTTAACTCACCAGACCTTACAATGATAAATAATCAAACCTGGCCATGAACAAATATCTTTACCTGTACTGACTAGGATATTGGTACGTTTTACCTGACTGACTACACACATTTATTTAGTGCATGGATGCTAACTAGTAAACATGCATATATTGATCCATTTAAAAATGGTATATACCCTGGTTAGTGCTATAAGTTAGTGATATAGTACATTTTCTATTATTCTTATTAAATTATTTAAATGTTCCATTACTGAATGAAAATGGGAATTGGGCTCAGTTTTTCGAGGTTTTAGAATAAAAGTGTTTATTTCCAATGCAAAGACCCATTAATCGTTCATAAAGCAATTTAATTCAATCTTATGTTCTTCTCTTTGAAATAACCTTTAGTGATCACGATAACCAAGCTAAAAAGACGAATAGTATGTATATGTATGGCATTTAAGACATATTCCAACACAACTAAAAACCGTTGAAATGCAGATATAGATAAAAATGAATCAATGCACGATCTAGTACAGGTTCCTATAAATGTATGTTATAATGCTTCTCTTCTGGGTTCTTCCCCAGGTTCTTGTTTTTTCACTTGTCTTATATCTCCCACAAATGTCTTATGTTTTTGTTAAACTGTCTACGTTCTATCACAGTGTTTAGAATTATTTCACGTGTTTGGACTCTACGACGTGTTCTTATAAACAAATGAGTTTCACCTCTCTTGTGTCTACAATAGAGTCTGAATAGAGGCGTGTTTGTTTTGTTTGGTTTTTCTTTAATAAAGGTTAATTTTTGTAGGTAGTAATTTTACTAGTGTTATATATTTATATTGTTTTTTCCTGTATTATGTACACATTATTCAAGGAATTGTTAATGAATTTAGGATGAATGGTTAATAGTGTGTATGCAATTATGTTTTAGTATTAGTATTTTAATCAAAGAAAACTTTTGTAAAACCAAGTGTTTATTCATAGTTGCAAAGCAGGGAATATGGATCATCCAAAACTAAACTCTTCTATAGATATTCGTTGAATTATTTAGGACACAAGTGGTAAACGGACATCAAGTTGCATTATTCGCATTTTTTGTCTATTGGTGTGTACTTACCTATAAAAATTGCATCGATTTATATCTTGCTACAATATCCATTTGACAACAATTGATTAATATGCAGTATTCTGTCTAACCTGCTCAACCTAAACACAATTACATAAATCATTAACAGCAGCAAACATAAAAGCCAAAACATTGCTTCTTTCATTCAAGATTTGTTTTCAAAAGTTTTTAATTAATATATCATATCAAACAGATTTGTATGTAACGCATAGCATATTTTTGCATTGTTCTTAAGTTACTACATGACGATTTGTTTTCTGCAAATACGATATACCTCTTTTGTTGTTACAATTAAATTAATAAGATAAAGACTTGTACAATATATCTATATACGTTGCGTTATTTGTATTGTTTATCATTCGGAGTGAATTAGTGTATCACAAATAAAAAGGAAAATAAGCATCAATTACTGCATGTTTATCTTCTTTGGTGGTTTTCGATCCTTTAAAAATTATTAACTTGTATGCACCTCATATACGATGTTTTCTTTCAATCGTACATGCATGGAACAAACAGAATCTTTGCAAATAGAATCATTAAGGGGGGCTTATTATGCCTATACTATCCTCTAACTTTACTTTCGACTTATACAAAATGTACTTATACCGAGTAATACAAGATTTAGGGCATATGTTGATGAAAAACATATCCCTTTGAACTTTGCAAAAATATAGTATATACAGTGATGCTTCGTACAAGTGATGAAGAAAAACTTAACACTAATACAAGCAATTTTATTTCAATTTGTCCATTGTTAATTTTTCATTCGGATTATATTTCTGACCATACCATGTCGAAGGTTTTGTGTTTCTTATTGTGATATATAACTACTGGTGTGTAACTAACCTACATCTAATAACATCCATGCAACATTTGAATGGGCATAATAAGTTGGTAGTTAATCGTAATGGAATGTCCTCCCTTTTATGGTGACATCACATAATAAGCCATAACACCGAATGATAACTTTCTATGAAGAAACAAATGATGAGAAGGAACTGCTTGCACTGCCCGATGACTTTGTAACTTTTGACATGCAAAAAACGGCTGATATTTTATTATGTTTTGTCTGCTGTTATAAATCAAATTGTTATAATCAATAAAAAGGGAGATTATTATTTGATAACATCCAATAGCCACAGTGACACTACTTCATTGATCAGATTTCTTAAGCAATTCAAAATGACCAATTGTAGCTAAATATATATAAATTTTAGTTAGGTGGTCATGTTATGAGCACTTGATAGTTTGTATGTACATGTCTAACAAAAATAGAGGGGAAAGATACCATCGGGACATTCAACCTCATAAGTCGAAAGTAAACTAACACCGCCATGGCTAAAAAAACAAAAGTACACAAAAAATAATATAGAAAAGGTGAAGACTGAATATATAGAGAGTTATAGCGGACACAACCAAATATTCTTACTATTTATATATATATATATATATATATATATATATATATACGTGAAAAAAATACCAGAATTTAATTAATCCAATACAAGCAGTCATACCTCATCTCCTTATTTTCATATTTGTACATTGAACAGAACCCTCCTGTTTTTTTGTTTAATTATTCACATCGTATTCAGGCTAGACATGACAAGGAGTTTGACATATGATATAAACTATTATATAGAAGTTTGCTGGCTATGTGTGTCAAATGGTCGCATGTTTATTGAAGTATGCAGTAAATGTCACTGATGTATACAGCACATGTCACTGACGGATACAGCACATGTCATTGATATAAGCAGCACATGTAATTAATATTAGCAGCACATATCACTGCCGTATACAGTAAATGTCATTGACGTATATATTCCATGTCATTGTATTCATCTTAATAGCTTATATTCACATCGATTTCTCCTTAACGTTTTGCAATTAAACATAATCGTAATTCATTATAGATTTAGTCAAATTCAGTAAAATACCTTGCATAATAATTTTTGTACGAAATTCTCAAAACCTAGTCCCGACAGAAATGTGTATACATCACTTTAATTAAAAACTTTAAGGCAAAGAAAGACATAATGGACTAAAGAATAAGACAACTATACAAATAAACATTTACAGTAAAACAAAGATAAACAATGATTTACAAACATACCGAACTCTAAAGCAAATTCAAAAAGGAAGTTTATAAAAACTGGCAAAATCAAACGATATCGATCATTTGAACTAGTGAAAACAACTGCCATATTCCTGTTATTGTACATGCATTTCAGAAGAAAATGGTTTGTTTAACCTGAAATCCCCACTTGTATGAATTAAGATTAAGTATAATTTTCACTTCTCCTACCCCAATATAAATAGTTAGTCCTGGTGTTGTATCCCTACTCAGATCACGTTTAAGTAAAATCTGTTGATAGTTTAATTTAATACAAGGAAAAATTATCAAAGCAACAACAAGTAGATGTCTTGTAATTTCTTAAATGTTAGTGCATTACCATATCTAATAGCCGATCCTACAAATCTCACACTCTCTGGATCAGTAATGAAAGGTAAAATATTGTATGTAGTGTTTACAAATCCTACATCCTCTGAATGTGTAATGAAAAGTTAAATGTCCTTAGTAATGTTAACAAACACAATAATGAAAATCAAATATCATAATTTACAAAAGATCAATTATGCAAATTTCTGTTAAAGGAATATTGTGGGAGGTGTTTTGTTGTTTGTCTTTTCGTCTTTTGTCGTTTTTTGTTTGCCAGGGCATTGTCAGTTTGTTTCCAACTCCTGAGTTTTTGGTATTGTATAAATGGCTGATTAAGACATCTTTAAAAAAAACGTATCAGCTATGTTTCACCTTAAATATGAACACATCAAGTCGACGATTTAATTGTTGTTTCTTATTTAGATCAAAACAACTAATTACCCAATTAACAAACGCTGTATGAATAGATGATCCGATCTGGGTCAGTATTTAATTTTACAAACATTTTAATAACGAATTTGGTTGCTTCTTGTGAATTTTTCTTAGGTCCTACAAAAAATAAACATTTGAATGATTACGAATGTATGCATGGAAAGTAACTGTATAGTTATGTATTGGTGTTTTTATTTAAGTACCGTGTATCTTGTGATGATATTTGGGAATGGAATAGGTAAAGGTATTATTTGTTACTTCTTATTGTTCATTCGGAAAATACAGCTGTAAGTAAAATGTAGTTGTACATTTTCGAGAAATGTTCAAAAGTCAAATGCAACATAAAATAATATTCCCTATGAATTGTTACCTGCAGACAATATTTTATATTGAAAAACTGTAAAATATGTCCTGGACATTTTGTCATTATTAAATAGCAATCTGTGTTGTACAATTTTGTCAAATTGATCGGACAATATTCATTTTGAAGTTCTTTCCATGTCAGTCCATGCCAACATTGTACTGTCGAATACTGTCCTTGACGATAGTAAATTGTGGAATACTATCCATAACAATATGTGACTGTGAAATACTGTCCATGACACTATTTTACTGTGGAATAATGTTTTTGTTAACATTTTACTGTGGTATACTGTTCATGATAATATTTCTTCATTAAAGTATGTCCTCCTGGAGAATTCCTCCGCTATGAAATTGTAACAGTTGTCTTTTCTTATTTCCCTAACAGATTGTACATAAAAGTATATGTATAATGGTGACAGCATCATCCATTAAATAATGTTCGCCTGCATTATACACAAAATTTTTGAAATCATTTCTCGTTAAGCGTTTTAAAGGTATTAAAGTATTTTATCAATTAATCTAATAAAACATTTTCTTCAGTCTGAAAGTCTAGAAGGAATGAAGTGTCCTCTATATTCGTTTTATAGTTTGTTTTCCCTCCCTCCACCGGTTCCTACGCTAGTTTAACGTAATTTTAAATGGGACTTTATAGTTGACGAATATAACTGTACCTATTCATATCGTTTCCGTCTGTTACAAACACCTTAATGATGTCATTGTCCAAAATTTCGATTTATATATTTATTAGAAAAAAAACCATAGCAGTCAATTTAAACGGTTTGTATTTTCAATGTTTGGGCCTCGAGCATCACTGAAGAAACATTTATTGTCAAAAATGCGAATCTGGTGAAGAAATCTGACAGTCGGAATAACCCAGAATGACACTTATTTTATGGAACATAACAAGCCTACGTCAATTTAATGCATCAAGATAATAAAATAAGATAATAGTAGCAAAAATGATTGTCAACACCACTTGAACAAGACAAACAAAAACAATTAGAATAATTTACATAATATTGAGCACAATGAATTATGTTTGATAATATCTTTCGAGGAAATCCGTTTTAAAAATTTTAGCTTGATTGTTACATGCAGAAGAATTTTTAGATGATTTTTTGCACACCTCTCTAATTTTACTTATGAGTTATAACTTATTTCAACAATATTTGCATTCTCAAACAGTACTATACACTTCTTAATTTGCAAATTATTTTGTAAAAAAGGTCTTAAGACTAAAGCTAATAAAAATGGTAACATGAAACAAGCACTGGGAACACACTGTCTACATACATTAATATTGCCTTATTGATAACTCACGTTGAAATTCAGGAAAGTAATCCACTAAATTGGTTTGCATGATTTGTTCTTCTACGATGTCTTTTTTTTTTGTTAAAAAAAACAGCATTATTCCACAGTTCTGGATATTAAATTATTGTCATGAATTAGGATTTAGCTAATTCTAGACGATTCTAAAACAGATTTGAATTGATCTTTTAAATGTCTTTCAATTTGCAAAAACAAAAACCAAAGACCTAATAGTTGCGAATAAACAAAGATGGTGATACCATGTCATGTACGAAGTAAAACCTAACAATGGTTTGTATACATAAGTTCTAAATATTTCCGAAAATTACATGAACTTTGCCCGGCAGCTGTATGCATTTGTCATGTTGCTAAGGGCATTCAGGAAAACTAAAGATTGATTAACACAAATCCCACCAAACATTTTGTAGAAAAAACCGGGTAGTACAGGAAAATATTGAGAGCATTGTATCTCTGCATTTGACAAACATATATTTTTTTTTCAGTTTTCGTTATAAGTTAAAAATGAAAATACCTTCTTCGATATCACTGAATGTTTCGATTTTGTCATAATCAATAAGAGATACGATAAACATTAGGGTTGAAATATTGTCAAAATAATGAATCCATTTACATCACTCTGTGCTTGTGCCTCGTAATGATTGAATCTATTTAAATTGAAAAGATACATTATAAAACCTTGAAGTTGGTATCCAAATGTGTATTGCATATACTCAATTCAACATTTAAATGCTTTGCTTTTGTATAATTTGATATTGTCATGGTCTCTGATATAGTAATTGATATTTTTAGACAATTATTGTAGATGTTGTCGACCCCGAGAGAATTTCTTCTGTTTTCATTCTTCTCGCGTTTTTTTTTTTTTTTTTTTTAGGTTAATCATTTAATATCCTTTTTTGTAGCGGGTCTTATTTTTAGGAATTGTATTAAAGGTTTGCATAATGATACATGCATCACATATTCGAAGCATTTGTTTGTATCTTGAACATCTTTGTCGAATAATCGTTTGTCAACGAAGTATACAGCTATGAACATTTTTATTAATTACCTGAGTTAAAGACCATCAATATGATAAAGATGCTCTGTTATCCCATTGAAATTAACAGTGCAGTGCAAATGTCATGTAACATTGGTAGATAGTCAGATTCTGTACTTGGGTCGATATGATCCATTAAGCTGAAATCAGATGTTAAGTACACCGATTGCAAATATCTTGTTAAACTGACAATGACAAAACTTAAAATAGCATCAAGCAAATATCTGGAACTCAAACGTTCCATCAAAAATTGAATATGTTCCACTTCTAAACTTGCAAAACATTATGTGAATACCTATGAAAATATTAAAAATCACAATAAAAATGAAAAAACAAATAACTCAGAACTAAGCAGCATTGATTAAAAAAATATTCATGAAATAAGAACATTTACCAAATCTTTAGAATTTAAATGCTAGATGCTTTTGTAAAATGAGTACACTAAAAAAAGTCCGTCATCACACTTCTAGATATTCGATTACTGTGATAATTTTTGTGATAGGTTTCCTTGTTTGATATCTATGAAATCGAAATCGTTTCAGAATTTTCTCATTATTCAATGTACCATTCTTTGAAGATGTTGGCAAACTACACAATGTATGTGGTTTTCTGAACCAGTTTCGGTTTCCGTCTGGCGGTATTTTTTTTTTTTTACACTTGATAATTCTTGTTTGGAACTATCTTATTGGCAATCATACCACATCTTCTTATTTTGATAATATTTTTCTAGACTTTAACATGTACTATTTTCAAACGAGGTCAACGTTTATTGTAACGTGTTTTTGGCATCGGTCACACAATGCTGTTTTAAGAGCTACCGTCGGCATTAGGTTTGTTTTTTTCTGTTGTCTCCAAATTATTCAGTTAATACGTAGGGCTAGTAATTCAATGATATTCAAATCTCAAATACCCCTCAATAGAATTATTCCAATATAGTTATAAACTCCAAAAGAATCGAAAAAAACTCATTTGTAAACAAAAAGGCTTACTATAGATGATCTCAAATGTGTCATGCACTTATATTAAAACATATCATGTTGTTACTTACTGTTTGTCTCATTGACCTTTATCTCTTTTAACTTATTCAATACTCAAAATACAAAAATACATATTGTGTGAATAATATCTCTTTGTTTTAATCATGACAACATTTATATTATCCAACACAACTATACAGATGAGTAATGTTTAAAAAGAAAACACTACGTTTGTATACATCATTACTTATCATATGCCACACACATATATTAGTAACTTTATTGATAATCAAATCTCAACAAGCTTATAATCAAAATTATTTTACTGCGCAAGAAAGAAAACAAAAAAGACATCCTACAATTCCACGGACTTCTTCATCAATCAATAGTAGAAAGGTTTTATAAATAGATTAACATAGTGTGTGTATCTAATACACATAGTTACCTTGTGTAAACTTGTGACACTTTTCTTTACTCTCGTCACTACAAGTAAGGATATATATAATCAGTTGTGGAAGTCTACGTTCAATTGTTTATTATAAATCTTTTTAATCTTAACAGAGGAACAGGTAAGAATCAATTAATGACCAAAAAGAACAGGAAAAAACAATTGAATTGGTTAACCTGATAACATTTGGTAGACATTGACGTACTTCCTTACAAACTTATTTTCTCTGGTAAGATATGTATTAATCAGTCAGCTTATTGAATTACATCAACATGATGAAGTAAATCAATAAACGAAGTGTATCTTACTTTACGTTTAATTCCATTTTTAGGTTGTAACAAAACCTTTACTACAAAGACTGGATTGTTCATCTGGACAACGCTTGACATATACATTAACTAGCCACAGGTGACTTTTGTACTTTCTTTGAGTATCAAAAATGGCCCAAGCTGCAGCCTCGACGTGTGAAATATGTACTGCCGGAGCTGGTGAACATTATTGTCAACTGTGTGACCAATTATTTTGCGGAAGCTGTAAATTATCTCATTTACGCACGAAGATAAGTAAAAACCACACGTTTTTAAGCGGACCAAACATCAACAGGGAAGAAACACTACTTTGTACAGAACACGAAGAAATTTATTTATTCTACTGTCATGACTGTGATACTCCTGTGTGTAGAATTTGCTCCGTTGAGAAACACAGCCGTCATTTGATGACAGACCTTACTAAATCAACTGAGAAATTTAGGTCTGAACTTGCCAAGGATATTGAATCGAAGGTAACAACATCGAGGCAAAACGTAAGCAAAATTGAAAAAGACACAAAAGCTTACCGTGAGGAAGTCAAAGCTGTCATCAAAAACTTTACTGACGAAGGAAATTATTGGAAGAAATTGATTGATCAAAAAGTAGATAGTTTTGTTAAGCTAGTGCAGGATGAGGAACAGAAAGCATTACAAAAAACGTCTGCACACACCAAAGTTTATCGTGGAGTGTTCGAAAATTGTCAACAATGGCAAAAGAACATCAAAGAAATGGAAACAATAGCAGATGTATTATTGTTACGAAAGCTAAAACACCTTAAAATTGATGTGGACAACATAGATTTAAAACAAGTTCCCGAAAGGTCTTCCGTGTCATACAGAAACAAAAAGCATTCAGACACAGAAATAGACAGCCTATTCGGAGAGTTGAAGTTTCGGTAAGTTATCGATTCATAGAAAAAGGATATTTATGTTGATAAACAATGCATTGGTATGAACACTATTCTTTTAGATGTACGGTTTCTCCTATGTATTAAAGGTGTGTAACAAAGAGAGACAATATATACCAGAGGGTCATTCAAACTCATAACGTTAAAAATAAATAAATCGACAACACCATGGAAAAAAAAAATAAACAAACCAAAAGAGAAACACCAGTACACAACATAAGGATATAATAACACACTAACGAACATCTGTTTAAAAAAAAGGTATATCTTCAAAGGCAATCATACAAAGCACATTTTCCAGTGGTATATTTTCATGATTAATACTTCTGACACCAGGAAAGGAAAAGTTGCTTGAAATTGTTTAAAACAGAAATTTCGTACACCAATTTTGATACAACAAAGTACTGTTGCCTTAATTTAATGTTATAACTTTTTAGCAGCAACCTGTTTTGGCAGGTCGCCCTTTTCTGGTCCCGCTTCAATTATAGATAATAATGTTTAACCTCAATTTCAAGGTCTCACCTAGCACTACAAACTTCTCCGAGTCTGAAAAGACCAAATTTTGTGCTCGACCAGTAAATTCGAGCACAGATTTTACTTGATAAGACTCGACGTTATCTTGACAGTACTTAACCGAACTTAACTGTAGTCGACTTTAGTCTCAGTTTTACTTAATAAGTCTGATTCAGTACTTGATAATCTTGGTATAGTCTGAAAGGGTCTTGACAAATTCTCGACCAGTCTCGACTCAGTCTCAACCTGTCTCGACCAGTCTTGATTAAGTCTTGACCTGTCTCGACTAGTCTTGACTCAGTCTCGACCTGTTTCGACCTGTCTCGACCAGTCCTGACCTTTAAATTTAGTCTAGACTGGTCTGCATCGTCCCATCTAACTCAATTATATATTGTTCTTACAAAAATCCAGGTTATTTAATAGTTTGATTAATTGCTGTCAATTTAAAAGATTTAATTAGTAGGTAAAAAAAGGCTAGAATTTTCAGTTTTGATTACATTCAGATAGTCACCGTTAATTATATCTATATTTTTTTCCAATCAACTTGGATTTTCATAAAACTTTACAGCTATTGCAATTATCCATTGAGCTTAGAAAATGCCAGGTTGTTTTGTAGTTTGATTTATTGCTGTCAAATATAAGGATTTAATTAATAGGTAAAAAAAAGCTAGAATTTTCATTTCGGACTAAATTCAGACAGTCACCTTTGATTTTATTCATAACTTTTTCAAATCAACTTAGATTTTCATCAAACTTTACAAATGTCTCAATTATACATTGATCTAACAGAATGCCAGGTTGTTTGTTTGTTTGGTGTATTGCTGTCAAATTTAAGGATTTAATTGATAGGTCAATTAAGCTAGAATTTTCAGTTCCGACTAAATTCAAAAGTCACCTTTATTTTTGTTTATATCTATTCCATATCAACTTTGATTTTCATAAAACTATAGAGTTATCTCAATTATATATTGATCTTAAATCTTAAACATTGCTAGGTTGCTTGGTAGTTTGGTTTATTTCTTTCAAATTCTATGATTTAATTTGTAGGTAAAAAAAAGCTTTCAGTTTGAATTTCAGTTCCGACTAAATTCAGATAGTCATCATTAACAAATTTAAATCAACTTGTATTTTCATGAAAATCTTCAGCTATCTCAATTATACATCAATCTTCAAAAATACCAGGTTAATTGGTAATTTGATTTATTTCTGTCAAATTTAAAGGTATCTATCTGAGTTAATAAAAAACTGATTTTTTTTTTGAATTTTCTTTACCTAATAATTAAATCCTTAAATTTGACAGCAATATCCCAAACGACCGAACAACCTGACATTCTGTAAGATCAATATATAATTTACAGCAATGAATCAAACTATCAAATAACCTGGATTTGTGTAAAAACAATATATAATTGAGTTAGATGGGACGATTCAGACCAGTCTAAACTAAACTTAAAGGTCAAGATTGGTCAAAACAGGTCGAGACTTAGTCAAGACTGGTCGAGACAGGTCGAGACTGGTCGAGACAGGTCGAGATCATTTCAGACTATACCAAGATTATCAAGTACTGTATCAGACATATTAGATACAGTCGAGACCAAAGTCGAGTACAGTTCAGTGAAGTTAATTACTGTTGAGATTATGTCGAGTCTTATCAAGTAAAATCTGTGCTCGACCTTATTTGTCTTTTTGGACTCTGAGCGGTTTGAAGTGGCCTCTTATAAGGTCAGTTTTTGTTTAATTTTATCAGGTCGTTTATTTACATGTCTGTCTATATTCGTTATATCTACTTTTCCATGGAAGTATATTGAACATTGTTTCTAAATTAATATTGGGTCTTTTCAAAGCGAAACTTTACAGAAATCAAGGTTCAAACATCGCTAATGAAAGTTGAAAATCGATAAATTAAGATTATTGTTGTATGGTCCCTGATACTCATCAAGGTCTTCGACATGTTAGGGTTTGAGGGTTCTTTTTTAATGTATATCATGAATTTCAAGAACACGCTAAAGAAGTATCCACTGTTGAAAATACATCATTGTCACTAGCACAGGGTTGTAACCGTTAATGTTCGACTTCTAGTCACCGAATGATTTATCAGTTGTGTAACCAATGCTTCATTCACCACCCCACGTGTGATAAATAAGCTATCTGTCATTAATTTTCAGTTGTTTAATTACGAAATTTTGCCCGAAATGGACTTGAACATTTTTGTTATGTTTTGTGGTAACATAGGAACTCGCATACTTCAGTTATCAAATATCTCCATTTTTCAACTGTAAATGTCCTCTTCAGGATCTGCTTACCCTTCCGGAGTACCTGCGATCACCCCCAGTTTTTGGTGGGGTTCATGTTGCTTTGTCTTAAGTTTTCTATGTTGTTGTTTTTGTACTATTGTTTGTCTGTTTGTCTTTTTCTATTTTAGACATGGCGTTGTCAGTTTATTTTTTATTTATGAGTTTGAATGTACGAAAGGCGACTCGGACAAATTAAATGCAAGAAATCTGTGTCATTTTATTTTGTATATTATAGTTTATTAACATTTTGTTTTCAATTGCATTCACTTTGATTTGTATGAGTAACTTAAATATGTCACTGTCAGTAAGACAAATTATATTCTTTAATTTGTGTGGCAGGTACACACGTATAGCTTGTTAAACTTCTTTCATAAACTTTCAAAGTATGATATGACATAATTAATTTCGGATCATTAGTATTGAAGTAAACTTATACTTGTCTCCTGTACATTATAAAACTCATGATCAATGATTTATAATATTTATTTGCTGTAAATGTATTGATCACTAGTCCACCTTATTTGGTAGTTATATTTTTGTTTTTAAAGGGACAGTACAGCGTTGATGGAAAACACTGAACGCCAACAAAATACCAGGTAATACTATTTATTCATTGTTTTGCAAGGTTCGTGTAAGTACGTTAACCCAATTGAACTATAGAGATCAAATGCAAGTGATTAGGAAATAAAAACAACCATTGACCATTAAAGATCATGACAACGCAAAAAGCACAACACACATACTAGATAGAAGATCGGAACTGGCAGTCCAACATTCCGTCATTTAAAGTCATTATCAGAGCTTGTGAAGAAACGAAAAACAATATTCTGATAACGAAAAGATGGCGTGGCGATTCATCAAGATTCAATGACTTTCTAGATATAAAAAAGAAAAGATGTGGTATGATTGCCAATGAGACAACTCTTCACAAGAGAACAAATGACACAGAAATCAACAACTACAGGTCACCGTATGGTCTCCAACAATGAACAAAGCTCATACCGAATAGTCAGCTATAAAAGCCCCAGAAATAACGAATGTAAAACATTAAAAAGGAGAAAACTAACGGACTAATTACTGTACAAAAAAAAATGACGCTGTATAAAAACAAGGAGATCTGGTGTATTTGCCAATGAGACAACTTCCCGCCAAAGTTCTAATGAAGTGGATAAAAACAATTATAGGCAACACTAAGGTTTTCAACAAGGCCAGAAAAAACTATACCGTATAGTCAATTATAGGTCATTGTGTTATTGTTGTATGATAATTTTTGATATTCTTGTTTTTCATTTTTTCAAACATGCCTTGTCTTTATGCCTTTTTGTGTTTATTTTTTACATATGACGTGGCTCTGTACTTATACATCCCGTCATTGTGTTATTGTTCTAATAGTTGTTTTGTTTTGTTATATTTCATTTTTGCTCATATGCTTTGTCTATATGTCTTTTTGTGTTTCTTTGATACATATGACGTGGCTCTGTACTTATTCATTCCGTCATTGTGTTATTGTGCCAATGTTTCTTTACATATTTGTTTGTTTTTATGGTGTTTAAGATAATAACACAATGTTGACTGCTGCACCCCTATTTTTGACAGTTTTACCTATTATGTCTGTTTGTTTTGTTCACACATCGTTGTCAATATAATGGAATTTGATGCGACAATCAGGTTTAATCTACCATTTTCTACTTAAGAAAATGCCTGTACCAAGTCAGGAATATGACGGTTGTTGTCCATTCGTTTGATATGTTTGAGCTTTTGATTTTGCCAATTGATTAGGGTCTTTCCGTTTTGAAATTTCCTCGGAGTTCAGTATTTATGTGATTTTACTTTTTTTTCTATAGAAGGCACCAGCATAAAGTTAAATTTTTAGCAAAAATGTACTTGTAACTTGACTTTATATCAATGTATTCGTTGTTCATTTTCTCTATGTTTTTTTTTTTCTCACAAATAACGGATGCGTCATGTACGTGTTTCCCTAGTGGCAATATACAAATACTTGCATGTTGATCCAAAGATATGGATTACACTCTGAATAATCGCATTTCAGGCCACCAGAATATCAAAAGAGGTACAGATACACATGTCGTTCTTGTGGGTAAGTTAAAATAATAGCCACCTTGACAAAGTTGTTTTTATGTTTTTTATTAAAAAAAAAAATTGAATTGAATTGAATTGAATTGAATGATTGTCTGAGGTGTGTTGTCTGACTTATTGAGACATCATTTCGAGTATTTTAGGAAATTTGAAATGAATACTATAGAATTTGTTATTACTGATATTATCATTTGTTATGATATATTATATTACATAAGATATAAATGTTTCCCAAAATTGATAATATTGAGGTCAATATAGATATGTTCAGAATATTTGAGTTGTGTTGAGCATTTTTTTTCAACTTGAATAAAACAACACCATACAGAATTCTTTCAAAAGCTAATATACAGAATTATATTGGCTGCTAGCCGAATTACCGAAAGCAATATTTAAACAATAACTAATGTTAACGTGACTTAAAGTTTTAGGTTCAAATATTTTAGATGATGTTACTTTCAAATTGGCCGAAAATGATTGAAAATCTTGTATAAAATAATTGAAAACAACACGTTTAATAATTTCATGCGTCCGAAGCGCTTTTCTGGATTTACCTTCATCAGGAATGCTCAAAGCCAAACATCTGAAATCCGAGGGATGTATAAGTACCGAAACAGTTGAAGAGCTATATGACAAAAATACCTAAAACAAAATAGCCAAATCCATCTAAGGTCAACTTTGCCTGAGGGAGTTGAAAACTTAGTTTCTTTAGAATTTCAAAATTTATAAACGGACAATTTTAGAAAAGTTTGTTATAAATCATGTCAGTACCGAAGTACTGACTACTGAGCTGATGATACCCTCGGGGACTGATAGTCCACCAGCAGAGAGGTATCGACCCAGTGATGTAAAAAATTGAAAACAACACGTTTAATAATTTCATGCGTCCGAAGCGCTTTTCTGGATTTACCTTCATCAGGAACGCTCAAAGCCAAACATCTGAAATCCGAGGGATGTATAAGTACCGAAACAGTTGAAGAGCTATATGACAAAAATACCTAAAACAAAATAGCCAAATCCATCTAAGGTCAACTTTGCCTGAGGGAGTTGAAAACTTAGTTTCTTTAGAATTTCAAAATGTATAAACGGACAATTTTAGAAAAGTTTGTTATAAATCATGTCAGTACCGAAGTACTGACTACTGAGCTGATGATACCCTCGGGGACTGATAGTCCACCAGCAGAGGTATCGACCCAGTGATGTAAAAAATTGAAAACAACACGTTTAATAATTTCATGCGTCCGAAGCGCTTTTCTGGATTTACCTTCATCAGGAACGCTCAAAGCCAAACATCTGAAATCCGAGGGATGTATAAGTACCGAAACAGTTGAGGAGCTATATTGTAATAGTAGACAAAACAGGCACAACATTAAAACGCATCAAGACATAAAGAACATGTAATCCGTGTCCGGTGAGGTTTAATAGACTTTATTTCTAAAATATTCAGCATGTTACTAAGTTTATCTAGAAAGTGGCAATATATTTATGTTATTTAACTGAATACATATTTGTCATGCAACACTCCACTGGTTTGGGCATGGGGAGTTTAATAAAAAAAAAAATGTGTAGTCTTTTTTAATTTAATCTGATATGAATTGCTAACAAATACTTGAGTCTGGAACTAGCAACCAAATAATAAACTCTTTTAATATGTTGCACTGTATTGTTATTTGATATATTTTTTTTTTAATTCTTGTTACAGGAATGAGCAGGTTTCAATGTAAGTATCACTAGTAGCAAGATTTCAGTCTGAAACGGTCATTGTGGTCTGATCAAGTCTTAATCGACTTAATTTACCGCTAGGGAAAAACGTTAAGACCTGTTTAGACTTTCAGACTCTGTTCCGATATATCGTGTTCAGTCATATCAGTCGTGTAAAGATAAACAAGACAGATTCTTCTAGCGTTCAAATAAGACTAGATTAGATCACGTTCAGATAAAATAAGACCAAAGGTAAAAAATCTGTTTAGTTGCTGTAAGATCGTGTTCAGTCGTGTTAAGATTTTAAATATTTTAAATAAAACGGGCGACACTTTATCTGTGTTTATCAGGGGTTACTCCCCCTTTATGAATCAAATCGGCATAGCTTCGAGGATATTCTTTTGTGGTCTTTTGATGTAATACTGTATATCTTTTTCATAAAATAACGTATGCAAACGTACAATTCATTTTTTTCTGATAGAATTTTTAACATTTAATTGGTTATATAAGAAAAGATTAATTGTTGTAACCGGAAAATGTGTTAGGCATAAAAACTTTGCAGTCGTGCTTTCTGACATAAAGCAGTCCTGTATTTATTCATTCCGCCCGTAAAGATAAAATGATAAGTAATATATCCCAAAGATGTTCTGAAATTTTCTTAAACATTTTCTGTTTCTAATGTAAAATAATAGTTCTGATCCATATAAAATTTGTCATGAAAAATATATTCTAATTTATCTAATTTGCTTTATATTTTTATATATTATACACTTGTCAGATGAAAGTTGCTTGGTGAAAGTTATTCACATTTCAATAAACGGATTATCTAAGCAGTCAACCGAAACGGATTGTCATAAACTATCTAAATCATTACCCATGTAACGCTTATGATGTTTTATCCATGGACGTAAAATGAATAAAATTCCATGTTTTATCTTATATAAGGATTTACCGGGTAAAATTATAACATTGACAAATAAAACATTATTTTTTTGCAAAATAAATGCAACAAGAATAAAGAACATTTTAAGGATTTAGTTGACAGTTTATATTTACCTTTAGGTACCTATAAAGACCGATTGCGATACCTCTCTTAATGTTTTTTCATCATCAAGTTTTTTTTAGCAAGAACTAATGCAAGAATAAATCATATTATAGAAAAATATCAAACAACATAAGTTAAGAAACGTTTAATAAAATCTAGTGTACGGTATATATATCTGTTTCGTATCAGATTTGTTTTTATAACACCAGCGTTACTTCTCATTTTAAAAACAGTGAGACTCTTACTTGCTTTTTCCGAATTGACCAAAAAACTATAAAATAACGTAGCGTAATGACCGTACTTATAGATTAGACTTTGTTTTTTTTTCCATTTTGAATTGTTTTACACTAGTCATTTTGGGGACCTTTATAGCTTGCTGTTCGGTGTGAGCCAAAACTCCGTGTTGAGGCCGTACTTTTGACCTATAATTGTTTTATACTTTGTCACTTGGATGGGGAGTTGATTATTTGGTACACATACCACATCTTTTTATTTATATTAACCGGGAGCATTGTTACATTCAAAAGTCTTCAACTGACGTAAATGATTGATAGAAATACATTATTTGTATTGTATTGACTAGTGTAAAACTAAAATAATGTCCAGTGTCAAATATTACACATCGATGATCACTTAGATGTTCAACTGATTCAACAGAAAATTAAACTTAGACTAGGATCAAATTCATTACGTTACAATTGTATCCAATATTAATATTGCTAAAAATATTCAGTCGAGGATAAGACACAGGTGAAATTTATATGCATTGATTTGTTTTAGCCTGATACGGCGAGCGCGTGTCGACAAAAACAAAAGGCCATCTTAACAAGAGAACAATTGTTGTGAATCAGAGCCAAATTGACCTTTGTTCCAACTTTACTCATAAATAATGCGTGCTTGTTGAAAAAAGGTCACAAACGAAAGGTCACAATTCAGTTTCCGAGACTATTTTCTTTGAAAAAGAAAATACTTATTTTAAAAAAAAATATTTTGTATGTATCTTGAACTATTGTATATATAAACCAACTCTGTAAACAAATGTATTAAATGAACAAATAATTGTTTAGAAAACAAACTATCAAAGTGGCTTGGTACCTAAACAGCTTCATGGTGCTAAGAAATATTATATCATTTGCATGATTAAAATTTATTAAATCTTCATTTATCAAGGCTAATGAACAATTTCATAAACTGTAAAAAGAATATATGTAATAAAAAGTAATTTTTCAAGATATTTCTCTTACATACTTAAACAATTTTCAACAAATTATTTGTGACTTTTTGTCCTGTGAATTTCTGTCCTGTGACTTTTTGTCCTGTGACTTTTCAGTGTCCGCTTACTGTTAAGAATAGGACCTCCCTTACTAATGGAGAGAAAGCTGTCGGGACTATCAATGCTAATTGTTAGAGAGAATAAAAAGTACATCAATCATTCTCAATTTTATATGTATTGCGTAAAACAAAACGGTTTTATATGTTGAATTTAAGTAATGCTCGGATTAAGAAAAATAGATCTTTTTCTTTTGCTTTTCGTTGAAATCATCCTGAATATCATGAATATTGTACGCTGAACATTCAACGATCATGGCCAAGCATGTGTTCTTTAGAATGCAATCTGTAGAAGAAAAATCCGGTTTTAAATCATGTACATTGGAAATCAAGAATCGTGTGTCGTGTTTGACCTATTATCCTTTATTAAATAGTCGAAATTGACAATCAATATATTTTTTTTTTGCACCTACGTAACTCTATATATGCGTTTTTTGCCACTTCGCTTAGAAAAATTATCATATATATTAATTCTCTTTCAATAACATTTCTTTATTCAATTTGCTACTTGTCTACCAAAAAAAAAAATAAAAAGATATTGTTTCATTTTTGCCATTTTGGTTAAGTTCTTGGTAGATGTATGTCCTTTATGATCTCTCAGGTAAATATCAAAAATGAGTCCAGAGTTTTGACGGTTGTGAATTAAGGATTAGTTACTTTATGGAACACTTATTTCCTTGGATGGTAGTACAAACTTGTATGTTATCCTTTAAAGTTAGTCTGTCTGTTTAATACTTTGCAGTTTTAAGGAGAATTCTTCGTATTTTGCAAAAAGATAAAGAATAAAATGAAAATTTGCTTTCGATTGCATTCAGGCAGAGAGAAATATGTTTTGTTATATTTCAGACGATTTTTAGTACGGATTTAAAACTGTTCTTAATCTCTTCCAATTTACAAATATAATTTGGTATTGTTTTTTCTGCAAATGGTAGATGAAACTTGTATGTTCTAACTTTTTCAGAGGTCAGTGAAATCTTGAAAATATAACGTTCCCGGAAATCACAAGTCGCTATATAGAATGCTTGTAAAATTCAGAAACTTGCAGTACGCTCACATTTAATAATTTTCTGTTAAAAAAGAAGGTGCAAAAATAAGAAGCCGAAAACGGAAAAAGGGGGAGGGTTGTTACACGAACACGTTCTTCGCAATTTAATGCTAAACGAATAGTGATTATCTAACTTTTTGTTCAAATATCGAATGCAAATCAAATCTCTAACTTATCCACGCTTGCAATAACTTTTTAATTGACAGGTTTCTGCTGGCATTTGATTGGACAGCAGTTTAATGTAGGCGTGACAATCTATCACATTTGTCCAATTAGCTGTCTTGTTAAACAAACCTGTGTGCGATGACCCACTGTCCACATAGTTTAGTTTTTTTTTATAATGAATTGATCATCAAAAGGTTGTTGTTGCTATTGTGGGCCAGGGACTTTCTATACTAATGAAAAAGTCCATGTGTGGGCTTGTCTGATAGAAATAGACAACGCTTATATTTAAGAATAAAAAAGTGATGAAAAAGAAATATAACTATACATTGGATGAACATTTAGACTAATTCACTAGCTGTGTTATACAGACGAGGAAATAACGCCACGTGTAGCGAGGATAAAAAAAAATGATGATATAAATAATGCTAAAAATGATATATTGTCCAATCAAATAGGAAGCGTACGATATGTCGGCCCCTGAATCCGCCACTGACCTAGCAAATTACGACATAATTAAACAATTAACAACTTTGTAAAAAAAAATATTAGAAAAGCGTCTTTTGTATCCCTTATATTTTATGATATTTTGTGGACAATATAAATCTTAAATCAGTGTTTCAAAGTCATATCAGATAAAAAAAATAATTGTAACTTCTGCCAAAAAAAACGTATTTTAGAATTACGAAATAATTGAAATCGGATTTGGATTAGTTTTGTGCTCAATGGAATTTCCTAAGACTTTTTAAAATATCTATTCATTTATAGTCACTATTTTGAGATCGAATTTAATGAGGTTCATGTATAAGTATGTGCCAAAACAGAAACAATATAGTTGCAAATCAACGGGTACGTCTATACACTGCCCAGGACCTCCTGAGTGCACTCAGGACATACAAAGTGCACCCAGGACTCTTTTAAGTCATCGTATATGCACACAGGAAAAATGTTTATATTCTTTTTACGTTGTTTATTTTAGTGGTAACTTTTGGAAGATTTTGAAAACGAACACTCTGCACACGGCACGCAGATTTGTCTTATATTATCGATCGGTCGCGGTGGTATTGTGTCATTTATATCAAACTACTCGTGGTGTGAACATCACCGTTAATGACACCTGGACAAGCGAAATTTGTTGAATCAATTAAAAAAAACAAGTAATATACAGAAGGGCTGATCATGCAATATACATATACTTTGTACATATATAATAAACACATTTGTTAGTTATTTCTTGGCAATAAACATATGTATACCCAAACTGACTGTTTATTACCAAGGGCTAATTTCGACATCGATAATCACTGAATTCTCAATTTATTCAGTCGGTTTTAAGTTTTTAATCGGGACAAAGTTTTGTAAAATACTAAATTTTAAATATTGCATTATTTCGTCATTTGTCAGTAAACAAAACAGATATAACACTAGAGAGAAGGCA